GGGGCAGCGGCTTCGCCCTTTCCTGGAGATCCGCTTAAAAAAAAAAAAAAACCAACCAAAAACCACCCCAAAAAGCCTCAAAAGCTCCAACTACCCGTAACATTTCACATTTCTGGGAGTGACGTCAGGGATGACAACTCTCCGCTACTTGAATTATTCGCTTTGTTTTATTCAAACGCCAGAGGTGAAGTACAAACTGTAGTTACACGGCATTTTGTTTCCTTAAAAACAGTTCTTGGTTACATAATTCCAAACAACTTTCAAAACTAAGTTGTTGAACAGTTTCGTCTAAAATGTTGGGTTTTTTCCAATCCATTTAAAAAAAAAGGGTTTGAATTAAAGGATTCAGAATTAAAAGCGGTTATATTTTTTTCACTCTACAAAGAGGAAAGTGAGGACACAGTTACAGATAGTTCTCCACAGATTCCCATCCTGAGGGGACTAAGCTTCTCCTAGAAATATCCTCAACTCCAAAAGCAGCTTTTTCTGAACCATTAGCGCATCATTTAACCTGAAAAAAAAAAAAAAAACGAAAATCCTACGGGAAGTTATCTGTGGCATCTGGCTACAACTGCATGTCACACTGCTTTCTAGGTAAGAACACAAATATTACATAAAATTTACATGACAAAAATTAACAACAAAAATAGGGTCAGCGCACCTGCGGTATCCTTTCCTGTCCTAAAACATCCACTAGACTGAAAAGAATGATGAACGTTTTAATTAAATAGCTTGAAGCAAAATTTTAGACAAAGGGGTCAGTAAACTGAAGTCCACGTATCACTGAAGGACAAAACAGAGTTGTAAGCAATGATTTTAATTCCCGAAATAAATCAAACACATACAGGTCCTTTAGTGTTTTGGGTTTGGTTTTTTTTTTTTTTTTTTTACAAAGGCTTTCCTAAAGGATTGAATTAATTTTGGGGTAGAACAGAAGAGGAGGATTGCTTGGCTGTGAGACTAAAAATCAAAGACAAAACCACAAAATGCAATACTAGCATTTGAGCATATAACTTAAAAAGCACTGTGTCGTGTGAACAATCACTACCCATTACATCAAAAATATTATACATTTACTTCTTTCATCTCTTAACGTTATAAGATAAGTTGGGCAAATACTTGGCACCAAAAAACTGATGCATGATAGTTCCAATACGTTAAACAAAATGTACTATATTAGAACATTAATATTTAAAAATTTATGTCGACTCCTCGTCCAAATTCAGATGGCTTACCGCTTCCTAGAAATCCTGTTTACCCTTCTGGGAAAAATGAGCAAATTACTGACTTCACTTTCTTTCACAGTATTCGAGGTGACTGAAACTTACTCCTAATGGAGAGGTGAAGGAAAGGATATTATTTGATATTGCATTCCAATTGCTGTAACAAACGAGTGTCACATTTTAACAGAATCTCCCAGCAGTGTCATAAAGTGTGTCCCAGTTTTTCCAAACCCCTCTTGCAAGGGCTTCCTCCCCCCCAATGTAACAAGTCACTCCAGCACCCAGCGGGTTTCAAACACCAGCAGAAATCTAACACTGACCTGAACGTAACCCCATGAGTCGTATCAGGAGCTATAGTTTATTCACCCTCTACTAATTATTAAGCTTGATTTCCCATTTGTAGAGTAACATTATTGTAAAATCTAACTATTGGCAGCACCTGCATTGCTGGTTTAGGTTCTAGAAAGAGCAATCCCAGGTGCTGCTGTATTTGCTATACATTTTAATTGAACAAGTGTAATATACAATTCATATTTGAACATTATGCCATCCAAGTCCACACAATGTCCATCAAATAAATCAACGGGATGTTGCAATAAAATACAAGATCTGATTTATCTAATAGAGTTCCTCATCACGTATCATATCCAAGATAGATCCAACGCCTTTAGTATCAGACTGAAGCCAGAGGCAATCGTAAGGAAATAACCAAGTGCGCTCTATGCAGGCGAGCATTCTGACAGTATTTAATGGTTTGCAGCGTCTGCTTGTCGAGGCCAGCCTTCTTCCTCAACGCCAGAGTCATATTCTTCTTCAGATGAATCTTTAGTGGGAGCCCTATAATTAAAACGGACTGATCAGACACTTTAGAAATTGAGGAAAAGAACGGAGGCAGTTCCCATAGCTTTTGGTAAACGCGCCACCTGCAAAGCACCCCAATGACAAATGTTCCAACAAGGATCCATCTGCTAAACCACCAACTCATCTGGGAGCAATGCTGTGCACGTCTACACTACTACCAGTATGCAGTCTCACTACTGAAAATCAAAAGGCTATTGAATTCAGTTAGGTCATTTGATTTAATCCATAAATTTTAAATTTCCAGCACACATAAATGCTGCTGCTCTACAAAAATCACTGAAAAGCTACCCTCACTGTACGAGTAATACTTTTTCACTCCCTTTGAGACGCTAGGTGTGCTGAGCCAAGCTTCAGCACAGACACAAGATCAATACAAAGCACGTACCCTCAAGCAGAGAAAGTTACTCAAAAAAGTTATCAGAAGTGGAAACCAAGCCAGAGTTCCTAAATTTCAGGCCTGTGTTTTTAACCTGACCCATCCCCTTCTCAATTCAATCATTTGTTCAACAAGATTTTATTTTTTTTTTTTTAAATCTACTTGTCCAGTGCTTTCAGCATTCCACCACATCATTACCATAATACAATCTTTACAACATTAAATTGATTATTTTAACAAGAGTTGAGCAAATCAATAGATGCGCCTTTGTGGCCCTCCACTGCTGCAAGAGCAATGGAGAAGAAAACTGCAGCAGCCTGGAGCTTGCATTAAAAAAACCCAAACCAACACAACCACCAAAAAAACCCCCACCCACCAAAAAACACCCCCAAAACCCAAACAAACCCACCCACACTTCAGTGGGAGAAAGTAGAAGGAGGAAGGAAAAAGTTCCGTTTCAAAAATTTCAGTACAATTAATTTCAATCACAATTAAACTTCAGATTTTTACTGTTAACTTACAAAGCTTATAATTTACTTCTATTTCTACAGGCAATACACACACACAAAAGGCTTAAAGTAACTTCATGTGTAAGTTTATTTTTAAATTTCTATTTAAAAACTAAAGCAATACAAACCCAAAGTCTCTAGGACAGAATAGGCAGCTGTGTACAGTATACAGAGAACTGGATCCTTTTTAGGTTGTGTGCATGGTTTTAGAATACGTTTGTTCCTCTAGCAAATACCAGAATACCTGTCTAGCTGTGTTACTCGTCTGTTCTGATATTTCCATTATGGTTTTACCTAATGTATCCTGGCTCTTTTTTGCCTTCTACAACATCTTTGTCAACTTCCACGCATACAATGTCAGAATTGGGCACTTCGAACATGGGCTCCAGTAACAGCTTTTCCTACAAGAAAAGAGAGGGAAAAAAAATATTTCTGTATGCCCCCTCTTCTACATAACAATATGGTTAGCAAGTGATTCTCCAAGCTAGAGAATATTCTTGGAAGAAATCTGGGTAGCCACAGTTTTAGAAAGAGACTTACTGTATCCACATAAGACCCACAACTAAGTGAGGTTTTGAGTGAAAATTGTGATGATTAGATCCATGCACACAAACGTGGGTAACTTCATTTACTCAATATGAGACTTAATTTACTCACCATTATAGATCGAAGACCTCTTGCACCAGTTTTTCTGTCCAGGGCCAGTCTGGCTATAGCCTTCAATGCATCTTCAGTTACATTTAATTCACACTACATAGAGAAAAATGGTAAATTTAGTTAATTATTTCATTTATAACTCAACAGGGTTGAGTGCGACAGTGCAAGCGTTACTGAAAATAACAAACAGTAGTGATTTTCTTGTTACAGACCACAACGTTTAACATTTAAGATAAAACTTCAGCTACGCTTCATTTTGTATGTGTAAGCTCCAGTATTGACTATGTCCCTTTACCTACAACCCCTATAAGTACCTCTACAGTACGTGAAGTGGCTCTTGATGCCTATTAGGCAAGGTCACGGATGTTCATTTGCATGTTAACATGAAGAGCAGCTCAACTACTTCCAGATTCCAATTTAAACCAGTCAGATTTTAACGAGTTAAGAGTTAGCTTACTTTTTTTTTTTTCCCCACAGTGGAAAAGTGCACATGTGGGGGAAAGAAATTATTTCAACTGATATTTTAGATCACTTTAACACTGTATTTATAGACAAGAATATTGAAGAGTCGTCAAATACAAATTCAAACCTTATCCATGCTGAATAGTGCCTGGTATTGAGGAACCACAGCATTCCGTGGCTCAGTAAGAATCCGTACAAGGGTTTTCTCATCTAGGCTGTGCAGAGGAACCACAACAGGCAAACGTCCCACAAACTCAGGAATCATGCCAAATTCAATGAGATCTCTGGCTTCCACATGACGCAGCAAGCGATCCTTTTCTTCAATATCTTCATGGGGATCAGACTCTCCACTTATATTAGCAAGATCAGCTGCGGCTGCAGCCCTTCTGCCTTTTCCCATATTAGATGGTGTCCCAAATCCTAGATACTGCAAAATAAGCGTGTTATAATTACAGAACTATGACACTTCGGTTTTCTTTACGTAACTAAATCATGTTCCATGTCCATTAAAAAAAAATCTGGAATGATTGATTATGTCATTACATATTAATTCAAGCTCAAGAAATTACTTATAGTAATATTACACCCTTTGCACACAATCAGTTTCTTATAACATTTAATTCCCTCGGTAAGGTATCAATACATCAGCTTAAGAGCAAGTTTTTCTTAACAAAAAAGGTTAGCAACGTGTCCCGATAAGTTTACAAATACCAGTGACACTAAAAAGGGCTCTTCAGAAGTGAAGCTGATGTCTGCAAGTAGGTTTACATGAAGAGCCACATGAACTATCATAAATAATCTGGATTTCAGCCACTCCTCTGTTGTTAGGAACAGGGTGCACGTTTTGTCAGAAAGCTGCAACCAGAAGAACCCTGTCCCCAGACATTAATAAGCAAAATAGGGAACTGTATGACCAGCTATTTTAAGATGATGATAGCTTTTAGCACCGTTTGCTCAAACTATCTGAGTATCAACAGTAAACCCTTGGATATCAGTGGAAAAAAAGCTTTTTCTC